TAATACACTCTATATATAAGTTTTTATTGAAATCAATTGGTTTTTATTGATAATACATAAGACATAATATAAATAAATATATATAAACAGAATCCAGAATTTCGATGTAAATCACAGGACATATAACTTGTATAACCAAGAGATTAAAGACTGAGTTAATGTTAAGTTTGGTTTTTTATATCACAGAAAAAAATTATATATAATTATAAATATATATAAGAAATCAAGAAAATTAATTAATCGATAGATAATTGAATGGGTATTAAATTTAAACAAATAAAACAATTGTAAGTCTTTTGAAAAACACACACGAATTTCATGTAATTATTAAATGGCAATAGGATTTTGTTTGAGGCAACAGATATGTAATAATAACTGTATGTATTTTTTCGTTGGCATATATCGTATATCGAGGCAAATATAATGAAGTTTTGTTTTGTTTTAATTTGTATAACTAATTATGTGATCGCATTATTGAGTTTTTATTGAGACTTGAATTTATTAATATTATATTAATGTTTGTGTTGACCACACAATCGGATCCATTAAACTCCATCTCTCAAGTGATCGCTCACTCTATCACTACATCACTAACGATATCATTAATGACAACATATGTTAAGCCACAAGAATCGGTGAATTCAAACATTCATTTCTAAGACTAATAATTAATTTATGAAAACTTATTGTGTCTTCTAATTGAACGAAGAAAAGCCATTTCAGAGCGAAATATTTAAATTGAGAAAAAAAAGTTAATTAATTGTTTTTATTAATAAATTGATTGATTGATTGGTTGACAAAAATTGATTGAAATATTGATAAATAAATTGCAAACGAATAGAGAAAAAATTGTGTTTTGAATTTTATTGATAATTTGATGATTTTTCAAATTCATTTGTGTATTCAATTGATCTTTACTTTTGCTGTGTCTGTGTTTGTGAATTCAATTTTACATTTTATTTTTGTAATGTAATTATTTGTATAATTTATTAATGATTTATTTTTTTCGTTTTGTTTCTTTATTTTATGTTTTTGGTTATTTTGGGCAAATCGTTATTATCTGTATTTAATATTCACGTTATGTTTACACAACAAATTTCAATCCATCCCTCACTTCACAATTTTACACCAAAACCACACAATTGACGGCTAAAATACATCAACAAATCAATTCACTGACTCTTCACTGGATATTCTTGTGAATGAATTTCAACACATATGTCACATAACAACCAATATAAACACTATTAATTGAATATCCAAACAAAATACAACTGCAATCACAAAATGCCCATTTTGTTTGGCCAAACAATTGGGACAAAAACTCGCTTAACTTTATGTTTTACCCGTTATTTCGTTTTGTATGCCATTCTTAACGCATAATTTGTGTTTCGTATATGACTTTTACACAAAACAAAAACGCTAACCAATGCAACAACAAATACAATTATCATTTATATAATAAATACAAATACAAACACCATATCATATGATATACTGAAACACAGAATAAGTTGATTGAGTTTCAAAACGATCGCATCGAAGAACTGGAAGAAGCGCTTCGAGAGAGCGTCAGAATCACCGCTAATAAGGAGTACGAGATGGAGGAGACGGAGGTTTGCTTACGGAAAGCACAACAACAGGTAATATATTAGTGATTTTGGTTTAAGTATTTGATAATTGATCACTAATTTTGTGATTTACATCGTGTGAACGCCGCACAAAAAAGGTGGAGAAATTGATGGACGACATGCGAGCGATGAATAACGTGACGAACGCCACGTGTACTAACTGTCCGCAGCTGAAGGTCTATTTGGATCGCATTGAGAACCGCTTCAAGAAGTTGCTCATTGATCGCAACCAAAGCCTTAATGAATTGTTTGATATGAAGTTAGTTGTCGTTTGTTTTTTCCCATCAAATGTTACCGTTTGAACACAATTATTAACAAATATTGTATTTGTTGTCCATTTGCGAAGACTGGAGGGCCTGTCGTCGGCCATCAGCGAGAAAGACGCCCATTTGGCGCAACTGGAGATGTGTGGCCTCAGAAACGCCGAAAACGCCAAAGAAGTGGATAGAGTTCGCCATCAGAAGAAGATTCTGGTCGAGAAGTTAAAGTCAGAGGTTTGTGTTGTTTCTCCACATATTTATTATAATAAATTGTTTTTTGGGATTTACTGTTGTTTTTATGAACTGAATGTTATTTCCTCAATGTTTTGTTGCATTCAAACAAAAACTAATAAAGATTTATATATATTGACAATCGTTT